ATGATTGTCATTATTGTATCATAGTTAACATTGTTAGATAAAACACAGGACACCTAGTTAAGTTCTAATTTCAGATAAATTATAATTTCTTAACTAAGTATGTCCCATGTGATAATTGACACATACTCCATCAAAAAACAATTTTAATTTACTAAATTTGGCAACACTAAGCATAGCATTTGTTAAGTATGAGCTGATGTGGTAGTCTGTGTTTGTAACTCTTAGAGCTTAAACTACAACTGTACTTGTCCAGAGAATTAAACCCAAGGCAAATTCTGTAAAAAATGAAAAAAGAATTTGATGGTGTTCCTGGAATATTTCTTCCTGAACATTAATATTATGTTATCTGGTAGAATACCTTTGTCTTATGCTTGCCTATTACACACTAAACTGATAATCCAGACATACAGTTTTCCAAAAACAGAAAGTTGAAATAGTTCTGCAGTTTTGTTAAATGAAATAAACTATATTTAAATTATAAAGCTCTATCCCCCACACCAAATATCTTGGTGAGGCAGAATTTATGGAGTAGATAATGGGTGAACAAATTCTCAAAGACTTCTCTTTCAAAGGGTCTTCAGATAGCTCTAAAAGAAAGAACTCTTCCTTTTTTCTTTAGCTTGAGTGTTTTAATCACTTCAGTCTGAATGTTGTCAGCATACAGCCAGAAAGACCTAAAAGCATGAACAGTTGACATTTTAATATAGAACTGGAAAAATTTTTTTTCTTATTCTTATGAACAATCTCTGGCTGTACAATCCCCCTTATCAAGTTCATAAATAATGCCTCATGTTTATGGAGTTATTCTGTATCTGTTTTTGTGTCATTTTGTTTTAAGGTAGGAAAAACATATGTTTTGTGTTTTAAAAACTCTCAACCAGGGGCAGCTGGATGGTTCAGTCAGTTGAGCACCTGCCTTAGGCTCAGGTCATGATCCCAAGGTCCTGGGATCAAGCCCTGCATCAGGCTCCAGGGGAACCTGCTTCTCCCTCTCCCTCTGCCCCTCCCCCCATTTGTGCGCTCTCTCTCTCTCTCTCTCTCTCTCTCTGTCTCTCTCTCACACACACTCTCTCTCTCATATAAATAAACAAAATCTTAAAAAAAAAAAACATCAACCAGACATTTCATGTTTTTGCTTTCTGTGGTAACTCAATAGCCTGGGTAAATTTTCTTTCTTTCTTCTCCTTCTTCTTTTTTTTTTTAAGATTTTATTTATTTATTTGAGAGAGAAAAAGTGTGTGTGTGAGAGAGAGACAGAGAGAGCATGAATAGGGGGAGGGGCAGAGGGAGAAGCAGACTCCCCACCAAGCAGGGAGCCTGCCGGAGCAGGGAGCCCACCACAGGATCCCAGGACCCAGAGATCATGACCTGAGCCGAAGGCAGATGCTTAACTGACTGAACCACACAGATGTCCCTCAATTTTTTTTCTTTTAATCATTTTCGCTCCACTATCTTCTTATCAGAACCAGGCTTTAGATGAATAGATTTCACCATTCCTGGTATACTGTTTTTAATATACCATTTTTAGGTTAAAATAAAAATCTGGTAACTATGGAAAATATAACCCATAAGCAAAGTTCTAAATAATTTCCTAGGACTATATGATTAATAGGAAATTACTGGAAGATCTATTTAAAATGTGTGGATGATGAGTATTTGGACAGCTTTGCCAAAATTATAGAAGTAGCAAAAATAATAATCCTAATCCTAATCCAGTATCTATATACTATTGTAGTTTTAATGCAAAACAAAAAGTTACCATACTTTATATGCTATGCACAATCCTACAGTCCAAGAACAAATGGCGGAATTTCTTCCCAGTTTTTCTGTACTTGCAATTTAGCACCGCCAGATTTTCTACATAAATGAAGTTGTAAAAATATTTCCATTTCCATTAATTCATTTTCTTCTAAATCCCTGTCTCCATCTTAAATAATCCTCTCATTCCTTAGTGGCTCTAGCTGGATTCCCATCCATCTATCTGCCATCCATCTTGTGGTAAACAAGTCTTACAAAATGATTATCCCCACCTTGGGGTAGTTAAATATATATTAGATAATCATAAGAATGAAACCGTGTGTCTACATAAACAGCCTGTACCTTAGCAGTAGGTAGGCTAGTGTTAAGATAAATGACATCTAAGTTGCCAAAGGACCTGCTTAAACAAACCAAGAGACGCCCGTCATATTGAAAGCACAGCTTGATAATATTTGATGGTGTAGAGGTGGCCAAAATTGTCTCTACAAACTTCCTTGAGAGTCACAAAGATGTAAAAGCCTACGACAATGAATAAATGGAGATGACTTTTGAAATCCTGTGTTATAATGAAAAAGAGATGTTAAGCATTACTTAGTAAACAAATCCTATTTTGTTTTTTGGGTAGTTTTTTGTTTTGTTTTGTTTTGTTTTTAAGGCCTCAAACATGCAAGTTCGAAGAGAAGAACCTTAATCATTATAAAGTTTACCAGATGCAGCAGGTTGACTTTAAAAAATTACATTGATCTAAACATATGGTAAACCTACCAAGGGTGTTCCTTTCCATGAACAAACTACCTGGATTCTGGCAGCCCACACTCCTCTGCACCTAACAAGGATCATATCCAGTTACCCAATGCCTGATAGGCAGCAAGGGGGTACTGCTTCTAGATTAGGCTATTTAAATTTGGATGAGATTTGCTGAATTAGTCAAAGACAGATTCTCATTTACTAATGTTAAGGAGAGAAGTGAAGGAAGGAAAAAGGACAATTGATTTCTATTTTAAATTCCCTCAGAAGGAAATGACTCCCAATTGATGGAGTCGTAAACTTCAGAACCAATTAACCCTTCTTTAAAATATATAAACCTAAAATATATAGTATTTTATCACATATAAATATATATATGCATATATATTTATATATGATATCTGTGGTCTACTTTTAAGAATTTGAGTCTTTACATGTTTTTACATTTTTACTTTGTCTTATAAAAACTTGTAAAATATTGCAATGGCCCAGTCTCATCCATGTCCCTGAGACATATGATAGGTTCTAGGTTCTTAATATCTCATTTGGAAATTAAATTGTTGTTTTTCCTTCTATGCAATCTTCAGTCTCCAGGAAGGCCAATTTTCTAAGGCAATTCAGAAGAGATAAGGGAAATAATCATCAGTAGGCTTGATGTTCTGTTTATAAAATCCCTTTAAGGACACTCTTTCTTTTTTTAAAGATTTTATTTATTTATTTGAGAGAGAGCGAATGAGAGATAGAGAGCACGAGAGGGAAGAGGGTCCGAGGGAGAAGCAGACTCCCTGTTGAGCAGGGAGCCCGATGTGGGACTCAATCCCAGGACTCCAGGATCATGACCTGAGCCGAAGGCAGTCGCTTAACCAACTGAGCCACCCAGGCTCCCAAGGACACTCTTTCTAATCAGCTTCTCCTTGGCTCTTAGGGTAAAGGAAACTATCTGACTTCCTCCATAGGAAATAATCATTCTCTGATCTTTCAAGAAAGAAAGCTGCAAGACTGGAGCATGCTAGTGTAAAATTACTGGCAGATATAGGGATGAAAAAATATTCTGTTTCTTCTCATAGATATTATTCAGGAAGACCAGCATCAATGGATACTTCACCTGGCTCTGAAAGGGCTGTCTGGATCCTTTGCACTAATATCACTATGAAAACTTTTGACATTGTTAATCCTAAATCTGAGCTCATTTTAGGTCATAGAGTCTATTATATGCATCATGTCTAACAGTTTACATTCAGTTATATAAAAAAGTACTTTCTCTTAGAAACAATACCTACCTGCTTACAGGTACTCCTATTTCTGATTTTGTATACTTATTATTTTCATAATATCTAGTATGTCTTATGGCATTAAGTACAGTGATATAAATGTCCATTTACTATTTTATATCCTATATTAGACCATATGTTCCTTGGAGCAAAACACTTGGATGACTTTATTCATTATTGTAAGTCAAATCCATGACTCCTGACCTATACTGTTCATAGGAAAATTGTATATATATATTGGCTCGATGATTTAAAAAATTAAGACAAAAAACTAAAAGGATTATGAGAAACTATTGATATGGACTCAAAGCTAAAAAACAAATGGTATAAACAAAAAAAGATTATAATTTAAAAAATAAAGCAAATCAAAACTTTATATAAAAGAATATGGAAACAAAACATGAAATGGTATTACCAGCAAAACAAAATAAATACAATTAAAACAATAAACATAAGATTCAAAAGTCTGTATATTTTACTAAGATTCTAAGGAAATGTTGTTGAATTGAAAACTTAAAAGTTTATCGGATTGTAGAATAAAATACCAAGTTTAAAACCAGCAAGGTGAAAGTACGATGAGGATAGATTAAAAAAAAAATCAATGATAGAACATAAATTGTTTAAATGCAAAACAAAAATCTCTTTTCTAAAGTTAAAAAATTAGTAGCAAATATTTTTTTAAAGATTTTATTTATTTATTCGACAGAGAGAGACACAATGAGAGAAGGAACACAAGCAGGGGGAGTGGGAGAAGGAGAAGCAGGCTTCCCACGGAACAGGGAGCCCGATGTGGGGCTTGATCCCCGGATCCTGGGATCATGACCCAGGCTGAAGGCAGATGCTTATTAAGCCACCCGGGCACCCCAGTAACAAATATTTTTAAGATTGTTAATGCAAACTGAAGAGAAGATAGAAGTTACTAGAAACTAAGAATGAGAATCTCCAAAAGGCAGTTTTTGTTTGCCTGTAGGAAGTATTTTTTTTTGTTCCTAGTTATCATCATATTTATAGCTTGAAAAATTACAGTTGATTCAGACTTGAGTTTTCATGAGTTTTGCTTTAGATGTTATTGTGAAGACAAACTTCATAGTCTGTTGATAAATGAAAATAGATTGACTTAAATCTATCCACATCTGTTTGTTTTCAAAAATGCGAAAAAAAATGTTTGTTTGAAATGCAATGATAGTCATAATATTGGAAATCTTATGTATTTTTTCCCAACAGCCACTGAACTATGAGAAAAAGAAGTCATATACTCTCACCATAGAAGGAGCAAATACACATCTTGATTTCCGCTTTTCTCACTTGGGTCCTTTTAAAGATGCTACCATGTTGAAGATCATTGTTGGAGATGTGGATGAACCACCACTCTTTTCCATGCCTTCCTATGTCATGGAAGTCTATGAAAATGCCAAAATTGGGACTGTTGTTGGCACAGTTTTGGCACAAGATCCTGACAGTGATAATAGCTTAGTAAGGTATGGTATGCCTTAATCTTGTAGACATATAAAAATTTTTATTGCCTCTCACAATAATTTAAAATGAATGCAAGAAAATGTGAAATATTTTATTTCCATGTTATTTTCTATTAAGATAATTAAATTAGAATATTAATTGATGCCTTGACTGAGTAATGTAGTGATGGGTTTCTGTCAAATTTAGAATACATGTAACTATCTCCTTGAATACAGTTGACCGTCAATAGCATGGCCTTGAACTGCACAGGTCTGCTTATAATACATGGATTTTTGCTTATAAGACATGGATTTTTTTATAATAGTGCTGCAAATGTATTTTCTCTTCCTTATGACTTTCTTAATAATGATTTCTTTTCCCTAGCTTAGTTTATTGTAAGAATATAATATCTAATACATATAACATATGAAATATGGGTTAATCGACTATTTACGTTATTGGTAAGGCTTCCAATCAACAGTAGGCTTAGTATTTAAGTTTCTTTGGGGTCAAAATTTACACGTGGGTTTTCCACGGTTTTCCACTGTGGGTGAAGGAGGTCAATACCTCTAAAGCCTGTGTTTTTCAAGGATGAGTTGTATATTGTTGACCAGATAGATTATATTTTTCATTTGACTTAATAGATGTGAGCGTAATTGAATGGAAAAGTTATGTAGAAATATTTAACTAGAGAATTTTGAGTTCTTAGTGATAGGAAGTATAGCTATAGTACAAATTAAGGATTTGGGAATTATACTCATCTCTGCGTCCTGGTTCTGTCACAGTAGTTGTGTGCATTTAGGAAATCATCTACTCTCATCTGTAAAAAAAGAAAACATCTGTCTCTCAGAGTTATTGTGAGAATGCATGAAGCAATGTGCATGAAATGCTAAACAGAGTTGCTTGCACCTAGTAGTCACTCGGTAACTTCTAACTTCTAAATTCCAAGGCAGCAGAGAGTGCTATTTAGAGAAGTACTTACTTCCTGAAGATGGAAAGACCAGTGTGGGAATTCTGGTGTCTGACTTACCAGCTGTATCATCTTCTAGTCAATCAAGCTTGCTGAATCTCAAATATATGAACAAGGAATAATGATGTTGTATAAATATGTTGATAGAATTAAGTTGAATTGATATAAAATACCAAGCACAGTCAGTAAGTTCTCACTAAATAATTATTTTTTTTTGTGGTATGTCATGCAGTAGTGATAATGAAAGCTTTTCTTGCATGATCAGAAAGGTCTTTTCTTTTTCTATTTTCTTTTTTTTGGTCTCAATTATGATAAAATCAAAGGGCTGCATACTGGTACAAGGCTCTTTAGTTACCTTGTATTTATACCCTTGGATAGTCTTAAGGCCCTAGAAAGTTTGAAATCTTTAATAAATTTGTCTGCTTGTTCCTATCAAGTCCTTATTCTCAGATTCTTCAATGATTATCCTTTTTAACAAAAGCTATTATGGTAAATATTCTCCTTGATATCTATGTTATGTTTATAAAGGGTTTCAATTTTCTTTTATATAAGCATTATTATTTCAGTTAAAAAAGAAATGCCTGCAGCACTCATGCATGGACAGAAACAATTTTCTATGCACTACTGTATATATTCAACAATCCTAGTCCATCTGTGTGTACAAAAACAACACCTTGTCAATTGATAACCCCTCTGTCACACTTACAGCAAGAGTTAAGCATTGTTTGAAGTTTCAGGATTGGCAAACTATACAAAATAATGTGCATAAACCCAATTATAGAAATCGATCTCTGATCAAAGGGATGGATATTTAAGTCAATGTGTTTAGTTGTCAAATGAGGGAGAAGCCCACTATGCTTCATTATTTCATGGAATGCCATATTTCAACAATATTTTTGACACATAATAATAAGTAAAATTCTTCTAACAACATTAAAAACTAGAGCATTCTAAAAGATACTTATAAATGTGGCCATCCTTTATCAAAAGAAGACAATGCACTTTGAGAAAAATGTTTCATGCTCTTAGTTTGATGTGAAAAGATTTGAGGAATAATGATAAGAGTTTCTTTTGAAAACTAAAGTTTGATATTAATGATGTATTCTGTAATACATTTTTACAACATAACAAATTTTAAAAACGCTATTGGGGTAGAATATATTTTCCAAAATGGTAGACCAAAGGGAGGAAAAATTGAGGTCAGACACAAACTTCTTTCAGTGTTGGTCTATATATCCCAACATACACAAAAAACACTTATTCCACAAAGAACAGTGGTTCTTACCCAAGGACAACACCACACAAACACCAGAGGATATTTGGCAATATCTTAAGGCATGTTTGGTTGTCACAACTGAGGGAGGAATACTATCATCTGTGGGTAGAGGCCAGGGATGCTAGAACATCCTACAATTCACAAAAGAGTCCCCACAATAGAGAAGTACCTGGTCCAAAATATCAATAATGCTGAAAATATGAAACCCTGACACAGAGCAAACCAAACTGGGTTGCCCATTGGTAAAACTGAAGGAGTAATTATTCTCATGGAAAGAAATTCTGAAAATACATTTTTGAGGATTACATACCAGTATGTATATTTCACATACATGCATAGCCATGTGGATGTTTCAACATCTATAGTTCATTTAATAAAATAAGATATTTATATGTAATTAATTGTCCATGATATTATTGATTGGCTCAGTTATGGCCCCATATTATTAGAAGATTTTAATTGAACAGCTGCTATGTTATATACACTCTCCCAGTTTCTGGGATGCAAAGACGATTGGTATATTGTCTCCAAAGGCTAATATTGAGACATACAAATCCATTAGCATACGCATTATCCTTTTTATTTTGTTTTGGTTAGAAAACTAAAATGAATCCTTCCAATGCTGCCTTAAAATAACTAGACTCTATAGCTGCTGTTTGGAGGCATAATTTACATAATATTTATTCTTGATTTTAATAAAAATGTGTCATTCACATGGGCCTCTAGGTGTAAATAGTGAATAAAAAACAGAAAACATTAACAAACAGAAAAGCAAGCTATACTTCCACCTTTCTCAGGCACTAAATGTTTGTACTAATTAAGGAAACGTACTTTGAAAAGATGTACCTTGCAATGTGCCCTGAAATGCAATTAACTCCAAGTTTGCAGAATTGATAATGAAAGGGAGTTTGAGTCTTACAGGCATTTGTGCAAACTTCCTGACTTCAGTCTTTGTGTTTCAATTTTCTAAACTATTAGTAAGATTCTTCAGATTTCTAAGAGCATACCAGTTCTAGCTTTTGTCTCTCTTAACTCTAAACAAGACTGTGCAATTTGTAGCAATCTAATCATCACCTTGTATTTTGAAAATGAAATCAGAACCAGGCTATTTACTAGCAGTGAAGAAACCCTTGATTTCAATAGACTGTACTCACTTGCTGGTATATTACAAATGGAATTCAGGAATTTCCTGAGTAGCAACTGAGAAATGAGCAATTCTATACTGGACATGAGAAGCTAGAGAGCTTTCTAGAAAGTGACTGTTAAAAATAGTGATTGTTCATTGCTTGCTATCTGTGGTCCAGGGGCTTTATATAGCATGCCAAAAACCCCTGTAGGAACCCTAAAGTGTCTATATTATTCATCCCATTGTACAGATGAAGAATTGCGGGCTCAGAAAGTTAAGTAATTGGGCCCAGTTTCCATAGTGATAAAGTGGCAGACTCGGAATTTAGATCCGGTTTTACTTTTCCCCTAAAACCCTGTTTTTAACAATATTCCGCTACATCTTATATATCTCAACTAACAAAAACAACAATAAAAACTGCACTTACAGAAGTCATATATCATAAAGTAGGAAGCAGATGAATATTTTGCGTGTTTAGAAAGCCATTAATTAAATGCCAGTACCTGGGATCTCGTATTCATGTAGATGCATTTCACACATGGGAAAAGGGATCTGAAGACAGTCAAGTCTTATTTTAACTCCAGTATCTCAAGAGCAAAACCGTTCTTAATTTTAGAGTTTCTTCATATTGTAAAGTCTAAGACATTAGACTTGATTTAGTACAACAAAAAGAAAATTATTAAAGTCCTCAATATTTCTCATATGATGAAAAGCTTTACTATAAATTTATATGACTAAGTATTTCCCTCACATCTTTACTTCTTTTCCACTCTGTTCATAATCTGATTTTATCTGTACATTTACTCATTGTTAAGATTTTTATTTTTTTCTTTGTATAATAACCTTAAAGCAATCAGAGGAAATGTTAAATATTTTGCATAATCATGTCGAATGCTCATCATGACACTATTTAGGAACAATAGCCTACTTACATGCTAACATAAGAAATAAAATTGTGATAGACTTAGAAATATTTGCCAAGATAAAAAAAAATCTTTCTAAAACGTCTTAAAAAAAAAGACTAGTTGCAGAGAATTAGAAGTGTTTGTTCAATCTGTTTTGAGTTTAGTTGTTTCAGTGAACAAATGCTTACAGTATATTCACCACATACTTAGTGTTCTATTTGTTTTTCCTATGCATTTCTGAATTTTCACATAGTTTGTGATGAGATGGGAGTTAGAATATTACATTAATTTTGAATGCCATAAGAGCAAAAAATTAGAAATACTTCAAAATAATGACAAGGTCATGTTGCAAAGTTGAAAAGTGGAGTAAAACAAATATTTAAGAAGGTTTGCATGCGGGATTCATACTCTTGAAAAGAAGATGAAAAATTATCAAAAGATGTGTTTCAAATATATTCATGTAAAAGATCATCTGATACACAATGAGTTTTTATTCTATAGACAAAATTTATTTGTAAAAGTTTAGTCCATTTAAGTCACAAATACCTTAATTCGTTCCATAATAGCAAGCCTAATCCACCCTCATCAAAACTATCATGGTCTTCTGATACAAAGGAGACAACTTGGGACTCCCGGGTGGCTCAGTGGTTAAGCGTCTGCCTTTGGTTCAGGTCATGATCCCAGGGTCCTGGGCTGAAGTCCCACATTGGGCTCCTTGCTTGGCAGGGAGCCTGATTCTCCCTCTG